TTGAGTTTGTGGTCATTACTCTGGTTGTGCAGCTTGTTGATTCATTAACACTGTTGGGGCTCTGTGAGAAATTTTGAAAGTTTCTTGAGGTTTGGAGTTTGTGGTCATTACTCTGGTTGTGCAGCTTGTTGATTCATTAACACTGTTGGGGTTGAGTTTGTGGTCATTACTCTGGTTGTGCAGCTTGTTGATTCATTAACACTGTTGGGGCTCTGTGAGAAATTTTGAAAGTTTCTTGAGGTTTTGCGCAACACCCCAAGTACAGGAGGGTTTTAAGGGAAACACCCCAAAAGATAGGGTTTTTTTTTTGAAATTTAACGCTCAATAAAGCTGCAAGTTGGAACCTATTTTTATTGACAAGATCATGTGACATGGACCAGTAGTTCATGAAAGTATAATGAATTAGTACCTGTGTGACAAGCGCATAAAGAGGTAACGTACTGTAGCTGCATAGGAACTGCCCGGCAAACCTAAATAGAATAACAACCCAATCAGTAGTCAGTACACTATCATGTTACCATCAGTTTCCTCTAGCAACAAATGAATTCGGCTAAATTTTAAAACGGTGATGAAAAGGACTGAGACAAACAATTGAATTTGGTAGAGAAAGAAGCATCACAATGGTGTCTAGTAAACCTACAAATAGTAATATAAACAAAGGAAAAGTAGCAAGATTTGAGGGGACAAAATAACAACAATGCCACCAGAAGTGCTTACGAGAACTTCAAAGTTTTGATTGAAACGACACGTAAAGAGATTCAGATATCTTTCAAAAATATTGGAACACAGATATTATTCGCAACGAAAGAAATTAAGGTCGATTTAATTGCATACCCCAAAATAAGGCGAATATACACTAGATGATGGTTCCTCATGAAGCATGAATAATACCCAAATTGCCACTGCAATAGAAAAGAATACAATATGCGGATAAAACCAAGCTAGTAGTGAGAAAAAAAATTCCTAAGTAGTTAGTCCAACATGTAAGAACATAATGGAATCAGCAGCTTCAATTTTCAATTATATCAATCCTATATATGGAGTTCAACTAGTAATGAAATGAGACGAGGAAGAGAAAAATACCCAGAACCAGAAAAATGAAGCCAACTCAAATGCATTCTGCAGATAATAAGAACATCATAAGCTAGCATTAGATTGAAGAAAGGATCATTTAAGATATTGATGCTTTCTAACTTGAGGAAATACCTGCCTGGAAAAGAATGAAATGGATCAAATACAACAAAAGTTCCGGTTTCTTAAACCAAAAAAGATCATCACGGGGCTTTAGTTTTGCGCCGCTAAAAAGGCCACTTATGCCGACACTCTCCAGTGCCAGAGTTGCAATGACATGTTGAAGCTTTGTGCCCACGAGAAGAACTAGCTGGAAAAAGTAGGAATCTGAATAAAAATAGGGTTAATTGCCTATAGACCCGCCTTGTAGTATTGTTATTTTGACCTTACTACCCCTCTATTTTTTATTGTTGCAGATAAAGCCCAGAGTGAATTGTCCTTACTCTTTTACCCTGAGGGGGTCTGTTTGTCAAAAAACAATTTCCACTTTTTTTGAGGGTAAAAGAGTCAAAAATCACTCGGGAGGTCTATCTGCAACAATAAACAACAGGGGTAGTAAGTTCAAAATAAATATACTACTGGGGGTCTATCTGCAATTATAATAACAAAATTATATTTGGAACAACTAAAAGCTATTCTTTAAGCACTTACAGCAATAGGAATGGTGGCTATCCAGAAATAGAGATTTGAACCTGCCGCATAAGATAGTAGCATGAAATTGAAAGCTCGAAACATCGGGTACAAGTAAAAGTTAGATAGAGAATAGGAGTTGATAAGTTTAGTTCATTTTGAGATAACCCCAAAAAGTTTGGAAATGCCACTTAACACTCCAAACATTTGCATTTTGCTGAATCTATTTTCAGATTTGGAGATTATATGAAAAAGTTTTAGAGGTTAAGTGACATGTCAAAACTTTCCGGAGGTTATCTCAAAATGGGCAAATGTCTCGGGGTTTTTTTTGTGAATTGCACCCTTTGTTTACTGAATTAGAGTTAAAAAGAGAATAGCTCACCGTTTATGTTGAACAACATGAAAGCAACGACAAAACCCCACAGCTTCCAACTGCAATTATTTAAAGAAATATGTGTAAGGTGACCTGGTATGGAGCTGTATCATATGGGGTTTTCCATTATCTTTTAGAATCTAAGGCATGAAATGGCCTATTCATCTGAAAGATCAAACGAATTTCAAGAATAGAAAAGTGAATATCACAGAGTTTACCTTACGCCAACAATCATCTTAAATTCTTCTTCCATGGAGCGTATCATATAGCTATGGAAATCATAGGTGGATGAAAGATGGTGATTCTGCCATGTTAATGAACAGGGATAAATACATTGTGTAGGTAATAATTGAAGTATATATTTTCATAACGAAAACATTGTAAACAATACTAGACCATCATACATTTTAAACAATAGCCTAGAATAATTAAAAACTGATGCACGTGACAAGGTTTTCGCCAATTTTCGTAATGATTAAGCAACTAAAGGAAAAGTTATTGGAGTCCAAAATCTAGAGCAATTTTCCTCCTTTAAGAATAAGGGGAAAAAATCTAACATTAATTTTAAAGGTTCAAATATGGTTTACCATGATAAAACCCCTACGAAGAGTAAGGTAGTCAGCTCGAACAACTGACCGTCCAAATTGGCGGAAAAAACAAGTCTGCAAGGCAAAGAAAAGAAGTAAATAAATAATTGATATTATACTAGTTTACTTGCATAATTGATCTCTAATAATCTTTACTTCAACAAAGAGAACTGATGCGTTACAGTTAAAGATTCAAAATAATAGTAAATATCGGAGAACTAACAATGTTTTGACCTACCAGCCAAACAAAAAAGCCACTTCTGGACCAACGATTTGAGACATTGAACTTCACAAATGTCGACTGCCTTCTCATTGTCAATGCTCTGGTGATCTCTGCAGAAGCATAAATTAGAATGAAGTTGGCCAGATAAATTTAGAAATGAAATGAATAAGGATTTCTAATGTTCTGCTTTGAAGATAAGCAGATACCATAAAAAGGCAGGCTCAACCACATTTAATCATTTGATGTCAATTGGTATAGATAGTGAAAAATTGGCTCACTACTAGAAGAAGGAAGCCTGAAGAGCATCTCATTTCATTCTTACCCGCATATGAATCATGACGATCCCTATGAGCCTCTTCTTCCCATCTCCTCCACGTATGTATCTATAGGTAGCATGTTAAAGATAAAACATTAGTCATGCAACTCTTGATATGGAACTACAAACAGAAGCAGATATTGTTTTTTCCATTATTAAGGGGAACATAGCAATAAGTTGAAATGCCCTCCAACTATTGGAAACGCGGTGGAATAATAACCACAGATCGATGAAAGAAAGAACAAAAGCAAAGAGAAAGCAATCAAAGAGACATAGGAATTCAGCGTGGTTTGGCGATCAATATTTCACTTGTAATTAACACTGATTGCAGCCAATCACTCAAACGCGAATCTATTTTCTTCTGTCGTTTCTTATTTTCTCTACCTTCAAGTCCATACCACTACACTGAAACTCCAAAGTTGTGGTGATGAGTGAATGTTATACTCTAACACACTCCGCAGGTTGATGGCCTTTTCATGAGCTGAAACCTGGACTCATGGCGGTATCTTTTTCTTTAATCTGCTTTTGAAATTCATTGCAAGCAAGAATCAAACTTGGGCTGCTCTGATACCATCAGTCCCTGCTACACCAAAACTCCAAAGTTGCGATGAGGGGTAAGGGTCATACTCTTAACACTCTATTGAACCATACATCTTGCAATAGGGTGAAAATTTACAGGGTTCAACTCTAGGATCGGATACTGTGTATTCTCCACGTAATTCAGGCTCCACAAACAACACAAATTGGATTATAATTTTCGAGGTAGTAATCCTGCTTGCTTTCTTGGTTGTTGAGGGTCAAAAGGACTTATGAACTTGATGAATCAAAGTAGACAATCTATATCTTGTGAAGGCACTGACTGCAAAATATGCATGTGTAATGACTTTTAAATGTAAATTTCATTCTGTGTCTTAAAGAAAGAAAACAAATGGAAGTGGAAACTAAGATCAATTAAAATGTATTAGAATATGTCAAAAAGGATACTCTTAGACGTACAGTGTTTCTTCATGTAAAGCATAGTGTTACAAAATTGTAGGACAAACAATTTATAACAGACTAAAAGAAGAAAAATTAAGATATGGTGGAAACATACTAAATAAATCCTTGGAGTCCATTTAAGTATGGTAAATCCTTGGAGTCCATTTAAGTATGGAAAATAACACTATTAACACATGACATCCGTAAGATGCTACTTTAGCTCACAAATCTTTGATATATAGTAATTCCTCATTCCTGTTCATTTTAGTCAGTTTGTCTAGACCGCATAAAATATGGTATTCTTCTTTTTGTTTGCTCATGCATGTGGATCTTAATGTGGGTCAGCTTTCAAACATAAGACAAAGCACAATACAAAGCATACAGTGATATCCCTTGGAAAAAAAACTAACATTTCAGTGCGATCGTAAGATTTATTATAGAAAATCATACTTATCAGTATCACTACAGCACAAGAAAAAGCATAAAAAAGTTTAACTAGCCATATGTACTAAGACTATTGAATCAATCAAGTAAGAAAACCTAACCTTCACAATAGCCAAGAGCATTGTCAAACAGCTGTAAGATACATGGGTTATGGCCATCACAAAGATAAATCTGTGGAGTTGCTCAAGACCCTCATATGAAACAAATGGCTCATAACCCTGCATGAATGAACAAAAAATTCGCCTTGGGATAAAATTAACAAAGCTTGCCCCAAACCGTGCATCTGGTACATTTCAATTAAATTGATTTTATTAAATACCTCTGCACAAGTCTGGTGATTTAATTCACTCAATATCCTTTTAAACGAGTGGTAAATAGCTCTACTGCCTTGAGATGAGCCATTCTCAACTTCCGTTGTGTCTTCAATCTCAGATTTGGAACAAGGAGAAAATGTATTGTTATAGAACTTTGAATCTATACAAATATTTGCGATAGTTCTTGAACTGGCTGTTAGGAGCAAAGATATGAAGCCCAACAGCATCAATTCTGCAGCACAAATTTCAATGAATAAATCAATCAGTTACCATGAAAAATAACACAATGTGCATATACATTTGTAGGTTTCTAGTATGGATGAATCAATAGAACAATACATTTTTCGAAAAAATGATGACAAAAATTCTACCTTCTTTCATCTTCTCCAGGGCTTCGAATAATGGATTTCTGCGAGTCTTCTTCAACCACTAAAAAAATATAAGCATACCACTTGAGAAAAAAAATAAATGATACAACAATATCAATCCAATATTTTCACGGTTATAGAAGTCCAGTTACACCAACTAATATAATCACTGCTATTGAATCAGTTATCAAAAAAGATGATGGATAGAAACTTTTGGCTAGAATGATCTTTACTTAATTTATAAATGATGCTGCAAAACAACTATTAAAGTCAATGATAACTGAGCTGTTTAATAAGAAACCCATAGCTGGTTGATTAACTTCGACTCTTATGGTAATTATCATTCTGGAGAAGAAATTTTAAGTGAAGTGCTCTGCCAGTGATTCAGTTAGAACCTCAATGGCAAATTCAGTTAGAACACTAAATAGCAAATTCATCTACATATTTGATATTATTTTAGTTCAGTAATTAACAAGAAACAGTAACTGATTCATTTTCACTTTTCCAACTTATGCCCATGGATATTTCTTTCAAGTCCGATAGACCTGCAATAGGCGATAGGCTTGTTAGCTTCATCTCACGTGGAGTATTTCCATATCCTATCCTCTTAGTAATGAAACAAGAAGGAAATTGGCATATAAACATTCAGAGTGATATTATTGAGGGCTGGGTGTAAGGAAAATAAAGTAAGGCAAAGATGGAATGTGGTGGTAACACTGTGCAAAAGTCACGTTTGGATAAATGGTACTTCGGGATAGTAACAGCAAATTCTTCGAATACACTGGAGATCATAAAAATCATAATTCTCTATAAGCTAACATCACCCCAATATAACAGCAAAACATGGCAGATGACAGACTATCATTAGACAACCTCATAGAATTGAGAAGAAAACTTCCAATAGCTGCACTGAAAATGACTTCTGCAGGAACAATAAAGCCGAAAGAAGAAGAATCTGAAGTATAATTTACTTAATTCATAAATGATTATGCAACGCTATTCTTATTATCAATCCAGAGTCTAGCAAGAGTAAAGCTCTCCATGCAAACCAATGAGACATTCAGACTAACGCAACAATTAGTTAAGCATTCAGCAATAACCAACATTTGAGCAATCATACAAGAATTCAACATCTAGTTAATTCAACATGACCAAAATGAGAACTTACAGCACTTAATCGATGAATGGATCGTTCGACGACTAGAGAGACCGCGACAAAGATTGTCAACACAGTGGCCACTGACCAAGTGGGTGTCAGTGCCAATGACCTAATTTCTTCTGGTTTCTCAGCCATTTTCAGATATTTTTCTACTTTGTTCTCAAACTTTTTCTACCATTACACTTCAAAAATTAATAAACCCAAACCCCTCTTCTTATTTTCCCCTCCTTCACCAAAAAAACACAAAAGGGTGTTCAAAATCATCCCTTTCTTCAAAGACTAGTAGTACTCTTCAGCAAATTTCTTCTATTATTTCTCTCAAAAAGATGATGTTTTAATTAAAAAAACTTTACGTTAGCAACTTCAGAAGAAGAAGAAAACTACTTGCTGTCCCCTAATCTTCAACAACAAAGAAGAACCCACATTCCAAAATAGCAACTATCCTCTGTGTCTCCTCAAAGAAATAAGATATTCCCCCCCAAAAAAAGCAAAAGAAAAACTCCTTCAAAATCCGCTAATAAAAACAGCTCTCAAGGATAGCACCGTCTTCCAACAAGAACCCACATTCCAAAATCCAAACTTTCTTCTGTTTCCTCTCTTCCAAAATCCAAACTTTCTTCTGTTTCCTCTCTTCCAAAATCCAAACTTTCTTCTGTTTCCTCTCCAAGAGGATGAAATATTTCACAACGGAAACCTCTGCCTTCAAGATCCCAGCAACGGAAGTGATCCCTTTGAACCAACTATTAGCACAAAAAATGCCAACCTTAGGAACCTCAATGCCTCAACAACAAAAACAAAGGCTTTCAAAAACGCAGAAATCTCTCTCCAAAAAGAGAAATCTAACGAAAGAAGCTTCCACACGCTCAAAACTTGAAGACCCAATAACAGATCTCAGAGTGCAAAGAACCCTCTTGGGCTTGAGTCTCAAAACTCAAAAGGGACAAAAGACAAGGGGAAGGTTCGAGGTTGCAATCAAAGCCCCCCTTCCAGCTTCAGTATCTTCTGTCGAGAGAGAGAGAGAGAGAGAGAGCGCTTAAACTAGAGTCTTGGGGAGTTCTTGAGTCGGATTATTTCCCTATGGTCCCTATATTCCATATTTTGAGTCATATTGAAATTGCTGTCAGGTCCCCGAGATCATACAAAATTGTTAAAATTGGACCACTTATATTTTTTTAGCTTCAACCTTTTTAGGGGTGGAACATCAGTTATAGCCCTTTCTGATACAAAGCCAAACCTGATTTCAGTCGAGAGATGAGAATTTAGTGGGCGATAGGGAGGAACTAAAGAAAGATAGGAAAACTAAGAGCATCTCCAACAGCTTCCCCACTTTATTGGTATTCTCACTTTTGGAGAATTTTAGGTTTTTTTTTTCCAACAGATTCCACATTCTATTCCCCAAAATAGGGATGGAAGAGAAAAAATAGGGAGTCTTCCCCAAATCTGCAGCATTCTGTAAATTTTTGCAGAGAGCTTTGTCATAAATGCAACACATTCTTCAAAACAGGATGGAGGAGAAAATAAACACAAAACAAAATCCGTAATTACAAAAAAAGCCACGGGGGCAGTTCCAATGCATAAGAGCATCCCAAAATAGGGATGTAGAATATTTTTAGTATTGTAATAAATGCATGATTCTTTAAAATAAGGAAGTTGTTGGAGTTGCAACAAAAATAATTTGGAGAATATGACTTTTGCTTCTCCATTTTGAAGAAATTTTTGGGGGAGCTGTTGGAGATGCTCTTAACACTTTGCGGCACAAGTTCTGACATTAATTTAGTGGGCAAAGACAAGTTAATACGATGAGTAGATAGCAATGGTGGACTAATCTGAAAAGTAATAAAGATTTGAGGGACTAATATTGAAATAACTCACTGGTGGTTAACCTCGTGTTGAAATGGAATCTGGGGGTGTAAACGACAAAAAGAAAGATTTATTTGCATGGGAGGACATTAAAAAAAGGGCCTTGTGTAAAACCGTCGTTCTCAGCGCGCGCTCTCTAGTCTCCACTGTGGCGCACATGGGGGAGACAAGAGCGCTGGCAGAGTTCCTGTAGTCTGGGCTGTTGGTGGGCCCATATCTAATATCACTTTTCTAAGAATCAGGCTTCACCACTCGATTAGCTTATGATTTGGTTTGAACGGAGTCGGGTTCAAATCTGCTCGGTTCAATTGGCTATCAGAAAAGACCGGACCGGTTCGGTTCAATTGGCTCGACTGAAAAAACTGGTAAACTACCGTGCGCCGTTCGCTTGCTAGGCGTCGTGCACATGTCTATTGGTCCGATTAAAAGCTAGCTAGTTTACAATTCTTCCTTCAATTTTTCTAGGGTCTGTTTGGTTGGGTGAAATGAAGGGGGAAAGCCACTGTAGAGCTGACACTTTTGGCAGCTTTACAGCAAAATCGCCTCTTAAAGAGGCGATTTTGCTGTAAAGCTGCCAAAAGTGTCAGCTTTTGAGACACTTTTGGCAGATCTACAGTGGCTTTCCATCTTAAAATTGCCCAACCAAACGGGCCCTAACTCAGCTCCTCTTGATCTCATCTTTTCTGATGTTTGGGGACCTTCCCCAATCCTTAGCTTCAACGGCCATCGTTATTTTGTTTTGTTTGTCAATGACTTTTCAAAATTTACTTGGTTGTATTCTCTTGGCCATAAATCTGATGTAGCTCTATTTTTCTTCAATGCAAAATAAAGTCTTTTCAATCTGATTAGGGTGGAGAATATCGATCTCTTAGTTCTCAATTTTTAGCTCAAGATATCACACATCGCATTACATGTCCACACACATGAAAAACATAGCACCATTGAGAGAAAAATTCGACATATTGTGGACACGGGGCTCACGCTTCTTGCTCATTCCTCTGTTCCCTTTCACTTTTGAAATTTTGCATTTGAAACTGTTGTATATCATATTAACCTTAAGCCAACAACTATTCTTCAAGGTGAATCTCCTTTTAAAACTTTGTCCAAACAAACTCCAAACTAAGACTTCCTCTGTGTCATTGGTTGTGTCTCTTACCCACTCACTCACCCATACAATCGCCATAAGTTTGCATATCACACAGTTCCTTGTGTTTTCCTAGGATATGAACAAAATTGCTTAGGCTATCGGTGTTATGAATGTTCTACAGGTCGTATATACCCGGCTCAGCATGTCCGATTCAATGAGTCTATCTTTCCTTTTAGAAAAACCTCACTCTTAGGTCCTATACCAAATTCTCCACCTCATCCATGACTTGCTATATCATCACCTTCTCTTTCTACACCTAACCAAATTCATACATCAAGTCCACCTACATCTCCACTTTCTTTTTTCACAATCACCTCCTACCCCTTCTCCACTATCTACTACAAACCAAACTCCACATACTTCAGATTCTTTTCCATCACTTACTCTTATGCTTCAAACTCCTCATACTTCACATACTCCAAATTCTTCTCCTAACCAACCTTCACCAAACATTCATTAACGGGTCCTTTGATCACTCCCTCATGTTGACTATCGTGCTTTAGCCGGCCTTTGTAATTACTAGGCTCTTATTTCTATGCATTATCCACTCCCTCAGGCAGCACCTGCTCATCTCAACCATGCTCCAGAACCCACATACTTTACTGAAACCTCCAAAGACACTCGATGGTGAGAAGCCATGTGTTCTAAGTTTAATGCTCTACTTTCTAATGATACTTGGTTTCTCGTACCTCACCTTCCTCATATGAACATTCTTGGTTGAAAATGGGTTTTTCGAAACAAGCTCAAAGTAGATGGTACTCTAAAACACTACAAAGCCTATCTAGTTTCCAAATGCTTTCATCAAGAAGAGGGTCTCGACTACATTGAAACCTTCAGTCTGGTTATTAAACCAACAACCATTAGCATAGTCCTTTCCCTTGCCTTTACTAAAAATTAGTCCATTTGTCAAATTGATTTCCGAAATGCATTTCTTCACAGAGATCTTAAAGAAGAAGTGTACATGGCACAACCTTCGGGCTTTCAAGATCCTCTTCATCCGAATCATGTTTGTCATCTTCACAAATCCATCTATAGCCTTAAACAATCACATTGATCTTGGTTCACAAGCTTCAAGATGCTCTTATGTCTGTTGGTTGAAAGTTAACATCTAACGGACGAGGAACAAGTACCCACGTCCCATTTTTAATGAGAGCCGAGTATTCGTCGGACATGGCATGATTCCAATGGGGGTCCTGGAGAGCGATAAGGGGATTTTTGGGAATGGGCGAGATGGAGGAGGTATGGCTGAGGTCGAAAATGGTGTTAGGCTTGAATATGCCGTGTTGGGAACGGGTCCTCATTTGAGGAGATGGTGGCTGAGGGTGGTTGTCGGGTGTATTTGTGACTGGCAGGGGAGAGAGCGAATTCTGGAATGTTAGGCGTGGGTGGAGGGGCAGAAATGGGTGAGTTAACAGGGGTAGGCGAGGGCGGTGATGTATGGAGTACGGGTGGTGCACGGGTGACAGGAGGTGTAGTATTATTTTGTGGAATGTTAGGCGATGGTTGAGAGTATTGCTGGGCAACATAAGGTGACAGAGGGGACTCTAAAAAATGATAAGAGTCGGGTGTTGGGTCGTTTAGATTGTGAAAAGGGAATGTAGATTCGTCAAAGGTGACATGACGAGAAATGAAGAATTTTTTAGAGGAGAGATCAAAGCATTTGTACCCTCGGTGGTGAGCTGGATAACCGAGGAAGACACAGGGTTTGGATCTGGGGTCGAGTTTGTGAATACTAGAAGAAGGTAAGTGAGGGTAACAAAGACATCCGAAGGTTTTGATTTCTTTGTAGTCGGGTATGCGGTGATATAGGCGAGCAGTGGGAGTGTGATAATTGATTGTTTTGCTGGGAAGAATGTTGTGTAAATACGTTGCCATAGACAACGCGTGATGCCAGAAAGAGGGGGGGGCATTGGCGTGTAATAGGAGTGTTCGAAGAAGGTTATTAATAGTACGTATTTTGCGTTCGGCCTTGCCGTTTTGTGATGAAGTGTGAGGGCAGGATAAGCGAAAAGTAATTCCATGATCAGAGAAATACTTAGTGAACGAGTTGTTGTCATATTCTCTACCATTATCACATTGTAAGTTTTTGATGGGTCTTTCAAATTGGGTGGTGATGAATCGGTGAAAAGAGGTGAATGTTTCGAATGTTTGGGATTTGTAAGTGAGGGGATAAGTCCATAGAAAATTCGTGTAATCGTCAAGAAATAAAATATAGTAGTGATGACCCATCGTACTTTTAACAGGTGACGTCCACAAATCGCTATGTATGATGTCAAAAGGGAGAGAAGTTTGAGTTTTAGACGGGTAGAATGGAAGTTTAATATGCTTACCGAGTTCACAAGAATTGCAAATACGACTAGAATTGAGTTTATTACAAGTAATAGAATTATTTTTCTGAAGGATATGAAAAACAGGATGTCCCGGGTGTCCGAGACGGTTGTGCCATGTAGTTGCGGCAGTGAGAGCTTGAGCAGTGCGAGGAGGTGTGCTGATGGAGTGGTTGATGGGGTAGAGGTCTCCTGCGCTACTACAGCGCATCAGCTGTGTCCCCGTCTGAAGGTCCTTGACAGAGAAACCAAACGGGTCAAATTCTACAGAAACAGAGTTGTCAGTAGTAAATTTTCTGACAGAAATAAGGTTTTTAATTAGTTTAGGGGCGTGTAAAACGTTTTTAAGTGCTAGAGGAGGATGAGGGGATTTAAAGAAAGTGTTACCGAACCCGTGTATTGGAATCAAGCTGCCATTACCAACGATGATACTATTTGTCGAGCTCGAATTAAAATAGGGAGAGAGTGTACCTTGATCAGACGTCATGTGAGATGTAGCACCAGTGTCCATATACCAATCATCGTCAGGCGGAGTTAGAGAGAGAGTATGCATAGCTTCGGCCAGAGTAGTGGGTACGAACATTCCCGAAGGTTGTTCGGCTGGTTGTGATTGGGCCACAAAAGCCTGTTGTGGGCGCTGACCAAGTAATCCAGGAGCCGTAGAGCGAGGAGCCCACCCCGTGGTAGGATAAGGGCAGGGTGGTGCAGTCCACTGGTTGAAGGGAAC